CTTTATTTTAAAATATCTCATTTGCTGAGCCCTTAGCCAGCACACCCCGCACTCAGTACTGCTCACCTTTGGGTTTGGGATGCCCTGAACACATGGTTTTTTGTCTGTCCTATCTTGACCCCTACACTTGTGAAGCACAGACTTACTAAGAGCTTTGCCTGGGCAGTGAGCTATTTCTGGTGCATTTTGAATTGCTTGTTTCTGGGCTGTTTCATTTGAATTACAGACCTCAAAATAACTCCTTCCTGAGACACATGCTCCCACACCTCAGCAGAGGCAAAGTGGCATCTACTGTCTGTGCAAGACATGTCTGTAGACAAAATTCTATGTGAAAAGAGAGAACTGCACCTGCAGTTACGTACCTGCTCTGCCTAAACACGTGTGCTTACTGTGCCTGTGGTTTTTTTATGCATATACATTGGTGACAGGAATTACACTTCTTCATATATTCATCACCTCCCTTTCATCCCACCCCAGGACTGAGGTGCTGGTCTTTGTACCTTGTCAAGGAGAGCATTCTGCCAGAGTCTGAACATCATCATGTACGTCCTGTCTCGAGCCCCAAAGGAAGTAAAAAAGTGCTGAATGGGAAGAGACAGAGAAAAAAATCAGTTCAGAAAAGGCCCAAAAAAGGGAAGAAGAAGAGACGAGCCTGTTCAGATCACGTTCCAGCTACAGGTCACAGAAGGACCGAGTGAGCCACACAGCACAGCTGCTCAGTTCTGCAGCACAGCCTGCCCCCCACGGAGGCCTCACAGAGGGGCTCCTCTCACCCAAGGGAGTGAGGCTGAGCACAGAAACTGTTCTGTTAGAGATGTGCTGCTCTATAACCTGGACCTTCTGCCTGGCCCCACACATGAGCCACATGTGTCCCAGCCCCAGCCCAAGGTCTGTAAAAGCTCTGCATTCAGCCCCAGGTAGCACAAGCAGTCTGTTTGGAAAAGTCCTGCCACACGCTTCTATTCCCCTGCCCCTGACAGCCATCTGGGGTGGTCCCAGAGGCAGAGGCTTCAAGGATGTACCTTTTCAGTGTCAGTGCAAACTTGGATGGCATTAGGAATGAGCCGTGCTGTTTTCTCCTTGGTCATCGAGCAGATATCCTTCAAGCGAACCGTCAGCTACAGTCAGAGCCACGCAGAGAGGGGAAGGTAGAAAAAGAACACAGGTAAAGAGAGACACTGAGAAAAACAATGGAAAAAGTGATTTTAAAGCAACGTCAGGAACTGTGCTGGTACAAAAGAGGCTTGGTGCAGCAGTGTGCCAGCCTTACCAGCGTCTCCCAGCGGAAGATGTTGCTGTAGAAGCAGATCCAGTTTTCAGAGAGGTAGAGGCGGCCCTGCAGGAGAATGTCTCTTTGTAGAGCACAGGAGTAATCTGTGGGTGGACAGCAGGGGATCGTTTAGGAGCACCAAAACCAGAAGACAGGACAGCCTAAACATGAGGCTAAGCAGCAGCAAGAAGCTGCTCGACACAACCCTGCAGAAAGTCACAGGCAGAGCCAGGAGGAACTGAGCCACAGCTGCTGCTCTGTCCACTAGGCTGGGATTCCTCCTGAGGGCACGTCACAGCACAAATCTCTCTTCCTAAAAGATGATTTCCCCCTTATCAGCTGGTCAGTCTGTAGCATCCTATATACTGCTTCCATTTTTCAATTTTTCTTTTCAGCTTCTAGTGCCATTGCTCATTTCTCTCCCAGTTTAAGCATCCTCAGCAATTTCTACTCCTCCACTAGGATGTGCATCTTTCCAAAGCCTGGGACATGGTATGAGATCAGCACTTACGTAAGACAAAACAACAGACGTGATGCACTAGGCACTCACTGATCAGCTGCACAGCCACAGCCTGGACGGCCACGGGAAGGGCAGTCATGTGTGAGCAGGGAGCAGCGGGGAGGCCAGAAAGGAGGGAAGCTCTGCTGTATGCACCTTGAGGCATGCAGCCCTGACCAAATGAGCAAACTGCTCAAACACGAACACACTGCCAGGCTTGGGGGAGCACCCTGGAGGAAAACACGCTCCTCAAATTATGAGGGAACAGAGACGTAGCTGACAGAAATCAGTGTTGCTCTCCCTGAAATAAAACTAATGAAACCCATTAGAAATGGTGAAGAGGAGTCCTGTCTGTGCACAAGAAAGACCCAACGGGCCTGTCCCTTGGCAGGAATCTCTTTGAGAGAGAAAGAGGGGGGTGCACATGTTGTGGCTTTCCTCCCCAAACCGTGGGCCAGCACAGCAGAGCGCTGCACCCCGGGGCCCACCTTACCTACAATGAGGCGCTCCGTGTCAGGAAGCTGTTTGAAGAGTTTCCTGAAATCTTCATTCCGTTGTTTGTATGTTGGACTCAACACCTGCAAATAACAGAGTGCCTGTTAAAGAGAGGGGTGGGCATGAGTACAGAGAAACGGCGTGGGGAAACAGGAACACCTTGGTGAGGAGAAGGGGGATCAGGTGCACTTACAAAGCACGAGGCTAGGAGCTCCCATTGCAGCAGACACACAGATGGGAGGATTTGGGATTTAGTGCATTACGTGAGAAGAAGAGGAGAACCTGACTTGAAAGAGCAAGAGTAGATGGGCTTATAGCCACAGAACTGCACGGAGGCTACAGCTGCAGGAGAAGCCTCTTTTCCTGCAATCCAAGACTGCACAAAGTATGACACACGCTCTCTTTGCAATGCATCATTTAGCTGCCAATCCCCAGCTCTCCCAGGAACTGCACAGCAACCCCAGCAAATAGGTGCTTGAGTGCAGCTGCAGCCCTGCCAGAGGAACTTGAGCGACCCCCATCATCCAGAGCTCAGGACTAATGCAACCCCCCCACTCCTGCCCCACGGAGTGCTCCAGCTGCCAGCCAGGGAGCACACAGCCACCCGCCACGAGAGCACGAACGCTCCCGTGGGCTCAGGAGAGGCTCTTGCAGGGACTCCACCATCTTCTGTGCTTCATCTGCAGACCCTTGGCCCCATGGAAGGCCTCAGAGAAAACAGTGCTGCTGGCTGGAGGCAGACCAGGAGCTGGCTTCTCTCCAGTGTTCGCCAAATATAAGGTGACTCTGACCGCTTCAGACCACCTCCTACACACCCTGCCCGTGCTGACAGCTGCTCCTAACAGCCAGGACATCTTCTGTAGACACTGTTGGCCAAAACAGAGGCAGGTGCCAATTCAGGAGGCCCATACCTCCCATCTAATCTATCATGATCTTTCTCACACAAATGTAGGGAAGGTGAGGGAACCTGGGATACAACCTCTTCCTCCCCTATCTCCATTTCCTCTCAACAACCCTCTCCTGTCTGTTCCTGCTGTGCAATAAAAATTGCCCAAAGCAGGAAGGTGGGCACACCTCAGGGCCTCTCAACAAGGGCCCCAAAAATCAGAGTGATTATAGAAGGTAGCTCCTGTGTGAGAATGTGTTGGTGGGGCTGCAGGGGTGGGAGGACTGTGAAGCTGACTTAACACTCGCATAACAAAACTGTCAAAAGCTGCCAAATCAGAGGAAGAAATACAATCTCCTGACCCCCAAAAGTATTCCCTCTTCCTCATACCAGTTCAACAAACTAGAAACAACAGTTTTTAACATCAACTCATCACTTCAGGTATTTGCTCCAGTCTCATGGGCCCAAAGGACATCATTTTACTTCTAAATACAATCTGCTAACCAGCAGATGACAGAAATATGAATTTTACTGACCAAATTTCCAGTCTGAACATCTGGAAAAGATCTCAGTCAGATTTGGGCTCCAGTAAGAGCCCAAGCCCAAGACTTCCTGGGACAAGCAGACAGGATGGAATAGGAGGGGGAACAGAGACCCTAATCAGCTCTGAGCTTTGCCTTTGATGCAACCCTACTCAGCAGTACAGTTCCCACGTGGAGCAGTGCTCCCCAAGAGTCCCCACAGCAAGGGCTGTTCTTACCTGTCTAAAACCTGTACTAAAACACTTCTGCTTAGCACTAGAATTTCTGTTAAGAGTGACAAACAGTTCAGTTTAGAGACACTCACAGCTGGAATTTCATCTGATCCACGGCTGACATTTTCTTGTGCTAAGTCGACAAGCCCCTCCAGGTCCCACAGCAGACATGGCAGTTCTTGCTCCAGCACAAGATCCCAGAGAGCCCCACACTCCAGCAAAGAATCCATAGTGTTCCCTCAGCACTTGCACAGCTCCCCAGTTCTCAGTCAAACTCTGCTTTTCCTGTTCCTGCTGTCACTGCTTCTTGTTTAGATTCAAAGTCACAAGAGACACAGCAGCTTGGCAGGACTTTACATGCCTTCCCCTGCTCTCCTGCTCACGTTCAGGTCGTCTGCCCCGTAGCCTCTGCAGATCTGAGCCACGAAGTGCCCTCCAGAGGACTTTGAAAAAGTGGCTCATTAGGGTCAGCGTGCTGCGGGCAACCTTCGTGCTCTTCTGCTCCGGTCTCACCAGCTTCTTGCTGTGGGCATCCCTTAAAGAAACAGTGTGAAAGTGCCAGCAGGCTGGGCAGTCCCAGGGAGGTCCCTGTGAGGCATCTGCAGCTCCTGACCAAGGCCCGACGTCCAGGACTGCCACAGCCAGCAACTGAAACAGCTCCAACCAGCAGGACCCCAGCAGACCAGCTGTAACTCCCAGAGCTAGCCACCGATTCCAGCACTGGTAAAGAGCTCAGAGACTTCAGCGCCTTCGGCTCCTTTTCCCTCTGGAAACCAGAGAAGCAGTTACTCTCATTCCTCCAGTGCCTGCCTCAGGCTCTCCTCTCCGGCCCCTCTCTGCTCTGAAAGGCAGCTTCAGTTTAGTTCCCAGCTCTGGTGGAGGGAGCGGCCGGGGAAGACACCGAAGTGCCTCGCACATGCTTCAAGTTACTCTAGCTGGGTAATTCTGTCGGCCAATGCCCGGCAGTAACCCAGGCTCAGCCCTGCCTCCCAGCAGATGTTTCCTGTAATGGAAAGTTGCTGGACAGAGCGTGCTAGGGGAGGTGCAAGGGGAGTCTGGGCTAAAGAGTATAGCTACGAGCAATCAGCCATGTGATACTCACACAGCTACAAGTCCTAAGAGCTCCACTACTCCTGTATGTATCTCTGAGGCCCCACAAAGAGCACAGGACCTTCTAGGTTTCATTCGTTAGTCAGGTCATGTGGAAATGAAGGGCAAGGGCTTCCTTCAGGCTCCAGCAACTGAACTCCCTGCAGGTCTCAGGAAGGCTGCTTGGAGCTCTGAACTGTATCTGCCTGCCCTCAGTCACCAGCCTCTCCACCTCTCTCTGAAGTGCAGAAAGGCATGGGTACACATCCACACCACGACACCAGTGCTGCTCAGCCATGTAAATCCTCATTCTTCCTAACACACTGGGCACACAGATCTCAAAAAAAAAAATAAAACGAACAAAAACCCAACTGTGCAACCAAACAAGCCTCTGCAAAGCCACTGTTCCCACACAGGGCTGGTGACTGCAGTTAGCTCACTGACAGGGAGAGCCAACAAGGGCTCTGTCCACTCAGATGTGCCACAGAAGCATGGCTGCTGCTAGACAGTGCACAGCTCTCTCCGTGGAGAAGGAAGCTGCACATCCATCTACCACCCCAAGATGAGAGAAGAACAAACAAAATTTCTGTAGCCTGGGAAGGACAGAGTTAGGATTGCAGACAGCTGCCCAGTACCTGTGTTACTCTACTGAATGGCCCTCTTGGATGGGAACTGCTTATGGGATTACTTCCAAAAAAAAAAAACCCACTGAGATGCTTCTGTCCACACAGCCACTCACCTCCCTTAGCAGGGATGAATGGCACAAGTCATCAGAAGAGCTAACCTGGAGGTGGGGACTGCAAATATTAACTCTACTGCAAACAGAGAGAGGGGACAGGATGGCACCGCGACGGGTGGAGAGAGGAGAGGAGGCTCGTGGGGGAAATGAGGAGGAAAGGGAGACTCCCCACGGTGAGATGTCCCTGTTAATACACAAACAAATCCTGACTGGAAATTTAAAGTGACCGTGCTGGATGATGGGACAGGACAGGGAAGTCTGACAGCACAAGAGCTGGGAAAGTTACAGCTTTGTACAGCACCTCACAGAAAAGAGGTGAGGGGGAGAGATGGTGAGAGGCACAAAGAAAAGGGGGAAAGCAAATCTCATCCCATTTGTGTGACTGATGGACTTGCTCTTAACTCTTCAGTGAAAATTTACATTGCTTCTTGACAGAACAGGAAAACTACTGGAAAAGAACAGAACACATTCCCTGCTTGTGTGGGAGAGTTTAGACCCCACTGACAGCAGGTCTGCTATGCTGATTAATGCCAGCAAAGAAACCAGCCACCTGTCCCACAGTGTTTCTTCCAAGCCCCATCTGGTCTCTTGTTTGTTGTTTTTTTTTTTTTTTTCCTTTTAAAAGTGAATGAACAGCAAAGAAAGAAGCTTCAAAGTAATCACTGGCTATTTGGGGTGGAATGTGGATTTGAGTTCATCATTATGTGAGCTTGCACCACAAGCCCACTTGTAATTCAGTGCCCCTCCACCCCAGTAACTGTGCCAGGCCTGGTAATCCATATACCTACAAATCATGGCAAATCTGAAGAGGTGAAGAAAGGAAAGATAAGTTAACACTGTTCCAGAAATAGTTTGACAGAATATTTACTAGTATGGAAAAGATGATTGCACTGATTTACAGAGAAAACTGCCTGTTTGTTCAACACCTTGCTAACTCATCAGCAGGCCTGGATTTTTGCAATAAACCCTGTTTACATGATTGCTGCTGCTGAGTCAGACTCAGGCTGCCACCCATTGGAAAGCTGTTTCTGATGTTTTCCCTAAAATGATGCATAATTTCTTTTTCTTTGTCCTCACAGAGAACATTTTACTCTTCCCAACAGCTGAGCTTCCTCCTCCACTCTGGTATCTATGAGGACTCCAAGAAGGTAGTACAAGAAAAAAAGACAGCACACCAAGATCAGCAAAGGCTGATTTCTTATGACATTCAGTCTTGTGATAGCTTGACATTTTTCTTAAGAAGCTACAAGTGCTGTCCAAAGGTCACCACAAAGAAAGGCCCTTTGCAGCATCACAGTCCCCCCTGGATTCTCATCCATCTCCTAAACCCTACTGGCACAGGCTTTCACCACAGTTTTCCCAAAGGAAAACCAAGGTCTCTCTCCTCTGCATGGCTGCCTACTTGCATTTGACTGGATTTGAGACTTCCACCTCTCTCAAGCCAAGCTGAAAGCTGCCCTGTGTGCACAGCATTCGTTTGCAGAACTGGGCTCCTACCCCACTCTGTGCAATCCTCAGTGCAGACCTTGCTCTCCCAAAGACAAGTGGGTAAAACTGTCCTCCTGTTGATCTTTTCAGCCTTACTAGGACAGCAAATGTTCCTAGTAGTATTTAAGAACACCTGAAAGAGTCAATTAGTGTCTTGTCACTGTGATTTTTTTTCCTCCCACTAAACACTCAGGGGTTATCCTGCACAAAGGTGGAGAGGGGGTGGTTCTTGTCAGTGGTAGGGAGAAGCTCTAAGAAGAAAAAACTTTAAGCATAAGAGAAGGCAGGTAGATGGAATGTGCACAGCTAAAGACAAAGGAAAGGAGTACAGAGGAGGGCAGGCTTTGGATCTAAATAGTAAAATGAAAGCCTTGTGGACAGATATAAATCTCACTTCTTCCCTGGTGTCAACTGTGTTTGCTCTAACTTCTCAAGGTCATCTTTATTCTCTCTTCTGGAGTATCTCCTGATGCCTGGTATCTACCCACACAAGGGACTACAGGAGAAAATCTACAGAAGAAAGCTTTGCTACAGAGTGCCAGCTAGAAATACTGTGGAAAATTGTAGACATGCACCCTAATTTAGGAAAGGTGAGGGAAGCAAAAGGATCAACAGTCCAACTGAGAGAGGTAGGCAGAAAAAACCACAGCACACTTGCTGTGCTCAGTGCCTCAACTGTACACTGACTTCAAGACACAAACACTGAGAGCTCCTCCGTGCTTGGACGTGGGGACCTTCACCCAAAGCCCAGAGAGAATCAAAGAACAAAGGAGATAAGTGCTCAGTGCCTCAACTGTACACTGACCTCAAGACACAAACACTGAGAGCTTCTCTGTGCTTGGACGTGGGGACCTTCACCCAGAGCCCAGAAAGAATCAAAGAACAAAGGAGATAGCTTTTACCCTTGGCAGCAAACTATCTCCAGTTTGTCTCTAATTTTAATGACATCTGCTGGGTGACAAATTCCTACTACCACTTTGTGGCGTTCCTGCTACCCTCACATCCAGGGCATCCTCCTCCTCCATGTCATCAGGGAAGTGAAACATGAATTTCCCACCTCTCTAAGCACACTTATCAGGTCTACAGAGTAAGTCACATCTCTGTTGCAGTAAAGAAAATAACAGAGAAAGTTTGCTTTTGAGGTCTAGTCCTTTTTTTAAAAAAAAAATTAAACATTTTTTTTTTTTAAATAATAAATCTATTAACAATAATTCAACGTGGAGACATACACATCCAAAGCAGACACACACAAACTGCACCCTGATGGCTAAGCATCCACGGGAGGGGGCTAAACTACAGCTGACCAACAAACTGACTCTTACACTGTAAAAATAACAGTTCTTCTAAAACACAGACTTCATGTCTGCAGTTCCTCACTAAAGGGACTTTTTCTTTCCACTGCTAGTGAACACAGCCAGCTCAGTGACAGTCTGATCTTCCACCACGAGGACTTGAACACAAGGCAAACCCTGTAAGGTTGAGCTGATTTATTGTCAAACTGGTATTCTATTTTAGATCTTTTTAACCTGGACCAGTTTGCTTTTTTCCTCTGGAAAGCAAAGCAGAGAAAGCACACGACGACCCAGGGCAAGTCTGCCAAAACAATCCATGACCCTGCTTCACTCTTTTTCTCCCACTTCTCAATCTGGTAGGGATGTCAACCCCAAAAAGCACTGCTAGGATCAACAGGAGAACACACAAAGAGAGAAAAGTTGGAAAAAGGAGAAAAAGGAAAAAGGAGAAAAAATGGAATTCAGGAGAAGGAAAAGGAAGGGCTCCAAGTGGCAAAGAAGGATACAGGGTTAGAAGGACAAAAAGACCAGTTAAAAGCAGCAACACCTGAAGCCATTTAGAAGGCTGATATTCTGACCACTGATGCTCTGGGGATGTTGGAGGAGCGAGTGCTCTTTGGGGCAAGGGCTGTACATTCGGTGTGTGTTTGTGCAGTGCCTGTCACCCAGGGCTGCTGAACTGGCTCAGAGGACAAGGCAGAGGGTGTTTCCTCTGAGCACAGTGCAATTTACATAAAGGAAAGTGGGGAAAAGTGAGTAAAGGAAATTGTACAGCTTTGTCAAGGTGTAGTAGCCTCCACAGAGTCATTTCTAGAGCTGCTCTCAGTGGGGGAAGGAAGAGAAGAATCAAAATGATCCAAATGCCAGAAAAATCCTGCCTGGAAGGAGCTGGCAAAGAAAGGAAACTACAGCAAGGAGACCCATTAGCAAATTTTTCATGGTAACAATAATGCCAAGTAGTATTGACTGCCTTCCTGGAGTTGGCAGCCCATCTCAATTTCCACACTGCTGCTTTTATCTGGCCAGAATGTCTCTACTAACTAGAATATGGTTTGGTTTTGTTTCGCTTTCTAAAGGAAAATAATTGGGGGGGGGGAAACACAAAAAATGCAGCCAGTGCTTACTCTCCGGATGTACTGTCTCTCATGCTGAAAATACATGGAGGAAAAACAAGAGAACAGAAAGATAAGATAGAGAGGACATGAAAACACAAGAGACCCACAGAAGCAGACCACAGCGAAGCATCATGCAGCAGGGTAGGGATCTCAGCAACCACAGGCAGAAGCAGCCCTAGCATAATAGCAAAAGTCACCTTCAGTTGTGGCCACAGATTGGCTTGTCTGCAGCAGCCTAGCTGGTCCAGAGCATCTGCCCAAACTGCCTCACTCCACATTCCTCTATTTGCCACTTCTCCACCAGCTGGGCCTGCCATGGTTTATACCTCATTCTTCATGCCATTGCCTCTATGACTCTCTCTGCATCTGAGTTCACAGCTTTTTCTGTCCTTGCTGCTATCCTGGTGCTGATTATATACAGCAAGTAATTAAGTCTGCCTCTCATGCCTCTGTCAAATCTGACCACGCTGTACCAGCCAAAATCACTGGTTCTAATATGCTAGGCTGCAGGAAGGTGGAAACTGTTGCTGAACATGGAATGGCTGCTGCATTTGCCTATAAAATCACAGTACTGCTGGCAACTAATTCAGAGCGCTCAAGGGGTGGGGGTTCAACTGCACAAAGGTGACATTGAATCTGGAAATCTGCACACCGCCAGCTTTGCACCAAAACCACTGCCACTCGTGCTTGCAAAACAAAATTAAGATCAAGGCAGAAGCAAAGGGTGGTTTGTGTTTCCGTGGGGTTGATAGAAAATAACTCGTCTCTGGCCCCACACCACCCTGGGGAGGTGCAAAGGGTTTGCACAGTGGCCGCTCTGTTTGTCACCACACCAACACCAATTCTGCTGGGAAACCAGAAGGTTACAGGGTGTGGAGAGCATCAGGAGAGTGACTGAAAAGACAAAGCTTTTGCTCTCTATCTCTGGCATCCTCTCCCTCCAGATGTCAGTCCTCCTTTGCCAGTTCTGAGCCATTTCCAGCTCCTCTTTTTGGAAACGGTCAGTATGCCCCAGCACCACTGCCAAATCCCTTTGCACCTTCCCCCCACCCAGGTACCCAGCCCATATTCACCCAGGGACAAGAGAAACTGGAGTACTTACATTATACCAACTCTGGCTTTTCTGTAAGGACAAAATAAAAGAGAAGCATTAGTTAGCACAGAGATCTTAGGATCAAAAAGAAAGATGGAGAGAAAAACTAGGTCCAATCTGTTTTGTGTAATTAGCCAAGTGAAAGTGGGATTAAACAGAAGATTTCAATGGATTTCACGGTGTGGTCTGACACAGTTATTTCCAGTGAAGGGGAACAAGGGACACATCCAGAACAGGAAGCAATGAGGTGTGCATGTCCCCATGCACGCACACGGAGGGAGCTGGGCACATGCCGTGAGGGTGCTGCACAGCGGCAGCGCCCCGGAGCACTGGCTGCTCAAAGCACTGCCAGACCTCCTCCCAGAGCCTCCTTCCCCAGCCCCTGCCCACTGGCCTCCAAAAATCACACTGTGTTGAACCGACCCTGTGCAAACAAGCCCCGAGAGAACCACCGCCAGGCAAGGACACGACTGTACTCACAAAAGCCATCAGGCAAAACTTTCAATAGTCTTGTAAATTTTAGAAGGCAGACAGACACATAGAGAGAGCCAGGAAAACTGCAGAGGGAAATCACTACAAAAGCTAAGCAAACAGAAAAAGGGCTGGTATTATTTTTTGCAGAATTTCAGTGCACAGTGTTTTGCATCATCTGCACATGTGGGTTTGTTTTTTTTTTGTCCTCATCATGGCATTTCAGATGGTTGGGGAGGACAGGCCACATGTCACACTGGAGCATATGAAAAAGCCAGCTCAGCTTGGAAAGTCACACTTGGTGGTTTGAGGCTGGAGCTGAGATGTATCTGCACAGAGGGAGGAAGAAAAGAGCTTCACACTCCCACGCCCGTCAGGCTGGCTTGCCAACGGCAGGACACTGAGCAGAAAGGACAGCAAGCACAGGCATCCCCATTTTAAGGTGGATTTACCTCAGGGCCATGGAGCCTGGGGGGACTGTAGCCTTTCATGGCAAACAGTGGTCAGCTACAGTGCGTACTGCCAGGCTGGCTGTGCTCCAGCACCCCCACAGCTATGCCCCCCACACCCCCCAGCCACCAACGGCCTGGCTACATCCCACTCGGGGGAGGTGAGTCTGACAGCAAGGACAGAAGCAATGTTTTGCTGCATTGCTTTCTTTGAGGTCATCTTGCTTCCGACCTTGACCTTGGAGTATTTTTCACAGCTTTGATATGCCCAGTCTGGAGTATGAAGGAAAACACACTGTTCTCCAGCCTCTGGAAGTGTGACTGGGAGCACTAAGGTGATATTCACAGGAAAGCAGACACCACCTGCACCTGCCCACAACAGGACCAACGACACAGAGGACACGTTCCCCAGGACAGCAGGCACAGTGTTAAGGAGCTCAGATGGGACCAGAGATTTCCATGAAGACATTGGGCTGTTTGAACTGTTCCTTCCCTAGATCTCCCTGCTTGCCACTCCAGTAGACAACCCTAGCAGCACCCAGATCTCCTCCCTGAAGCCAAAGTTTCTGAATGATCCCTTGCACTCCTGGACATCTCTGCCAGTTTCACTGCCCTGCTCCTTGATGAAAAACCCCACAGTAGCACAGTACATTTCACAGGCCAAAATGCAAAAGTTTTATATTAAAAAGAGGAACACGCCCTAAGGCTTTTCCCCAGATCCTAGGGAAAGGTTATAAATTGAAGAGCTGAATACAGAGTATGGCTTATGAGCTAACCAGAGGAATTGCCTCTTACTTCCTACACTTTTCCATACTTGGCCATATGCTCCATTCATAAAGTCTCTGGTTGAAGTCATCCTTCTCTGCAAGTAGGACACAGGAAAAGGCCTTATGCAATTCAGCCTATGCTAAAAAAAAAAAAATCAGGGGAATTAATCTTAATCCATGTACACAGCACCTTGTCCTCAGGAGCACAGGGTCTAAGATGGAGTGATTTTCCTGCAGCTCTGTTTCACCATCTGTCTGCCCTAATGAGCAAAATGCATAACTCAGAAATTCCTGCGGAAAAAATTTAATTATCAAACTAGAATTGGCATACTCAAAACAGAGACACTGCTGTCACTGCCTCCTACATCACAGTGCACGTGTTGTGGTGTCAGCACACTACCACTGGATTTCATTCCCCTCTGCTGCATTAATTGCAGTAACTCTTTTTTTCCTCCTCACTTTTGGATTTCTCCAAACTGCAGAGCTCTGCAGCTCCTCCTTTCCAAACCTCTTCCACACAATTATACTGACATCCAAGCCTCATCTTTTGCCTCCACCATGTGTTCCAGACATGAGGAAATTCCTTCCCCTGACTCCTGTTTTGCAGGCAGAAGAGACCACTAGAAGTCCAAAGAGAAGAGAGACTAACTATCTGAGTCCTTAAAGCCATCTTCACTTTCATTTAGCTTTTTTTTTTAAACTCACTGAGACTTAGAATATAGGGGGATGCAAACTGTGAAAATGAAAAGACTATACAATGGAGGGGAAAAAGAAAGAAAAAGGAAAAACATATTCTTACTTTGAGCAGGTTAAGTCTGTCATACTGAAAAAAGAAACCATAAGCATTAGAACTGAAAAGAGAAAATGAATAAGTAACAGAGGAATGGAGTTGCACACAGAGGTGGAAAAGATGTAACTGATTTGCAGAAACAATGCTACAGAAGCAGGTATCAGAAATCCTAGTTACACGTGGCTGTAACCAGGAAGAACTCAGGAGAACTTGACCAAGGCGAAAAATGGGGTATTTTCTCTGAGCCTTTAATTAATACAGCATTGCCTCTAAATCTTCATGGGTTAATGATCTCATATCTGCATATACTGCTCTGGAAGATTACAGCTTTACAGGGCAGATGGGAAGCAGTGGATCACATATACCAAGTTCAGCCTGCTAACTTGATGCCAACAGAAGCTTCCACCTTACAGTATTACTGGGAGCAGGATCACAACTCACTCCCACATACTGTTGCTTCCCAGGGAATGGAAATCTTTCGCCAAATGAATGACATGCCATATTGCTCTAGAAGTATCCCCTAGGACTGTTCTACAACTGGGGAAACACAGACACAGAACCAGGGTGGAGGCAGAGCTCAAAACATGTTCCAAAGCCCCTTCTCATGACCGATGTACTTCCAAATTCTATGCTATTATCTATTTACCTGGTTTCTAAATGCCCATGGCCAAATAACCCAATGAAAATAATGAAATGTATTCCCGAATCCTTCACCCCAGTCCAAAGTGACCAGAATTTCATGACCTGCTACCTAAAGGGGGATTATACCACTCAATGGGAGGAGTACATGAGAAGAAACAGCCAAACTCTTCTCATAATCACACACTGAAAGGACAAGGTGCAACAGTCATGGGCTGCAGTAAGGGAAATTCTATTCAGATAGAAAGAAAAAGGCTGTTCACAACAGGAGTGGTTAAGCACCAGAGCAGGAGCCCAACGAGGCTGTGGGATCTCCAGACTTGGAGGTTTGCAAAATGTGGCTGGCAAAGGCTTTAGACCAACCTGACCTAACCATGTCAGCCCTGCTTTGAGCAGAGGCTTGCACTAGAGACTTTCCGAGATCCCTTCCAACCTAAACTGTCTTACAATCTCCAGGGCTTACATCAAAATTCATGTTCTCCCCTAACCTGATACTTATCCTCAGCCTTTGTTACTAGCTATAGACAGTGGGAACCACCTGAAGGATTTGCAATGGAGAGGAAATCACTTCTATTCTTGGGCAAGAGTAAAAGAGTTAAAAGTATGTTTTCTTTGATGGCTGCTAGGAAAAAGGGTTCTGTTGCTGAGCTCAGAAAGCTGTTCCAGAGGCAGCAGTGTTTGCCAGTAAAAGCCAAAGGCTGTCGCAGGCCTATAGGTGGATTGGTGCATGCCACACTGACGCAGGGAAAAATCAAGCTCCAGAAGAGATTTCCCACAGAGGTGATGCAGTGCTTAACAACTCCTGGTGAGGCGCTCCCTCTGACGGCAGCGCTGCAGCACAGCGACCAACACAACAGACAAAGGGGCCAGGGACCTCAGCGGATCTGGCAGCAATTGTGTAAACACAGCTACAAACTCATGGGCTCAAGCTGTTCCATTGCATTAGTGAGACAGGTTGGAAAATCCGACCATTCCTCTTGCAGAAGACCAGTGGGGAGAGGAGAAGAGGCTGAGAAAGGAGATTTTTAAACCTTTGTCCTTGAGTTCTTTGTTCCTAATGTCTCCCTGTCTCGAGCAGATACCATCATCATCTGTGTGGGGAGACTCAGGGGGCTTATTATGCCTGAGATTCCTCACTCACACCAGAGAAAGCCCTGCCCTGTGGAGCACAATGAAGAGGTCCTGCCTGCTCTCTCCTTCAGGCTCACCCTGTGCACAGACTGTGGGTGAGCAGGGCAGGCAGCTGGGATGCAGGCTGGGGGAGGCAATGCCCGGGATTCCCTTCCCTCTCTGCATCAACAGCCTCCTTGCACTGGAATTTATCTGAAGTTTAACCCCCTCTTCTTTCTCTGGTTGTCTTAAAGTTGTTGGGTTTTTTCTCTCAGAAAACCAAGGGGCTGGCTGCAAGCACATCACACTACCTTTTACATTTTGCTCTCTCTCAGCGTTCTTCCCACCAGGCCCTCTCCTAACAAACCTCCCCCTAGCTTAGGCAAAGCACCTCCAGCTTACGATAGCCCAGGCATGACTTGTCCTGAAACACACACTTCTACTCACCAGCAATCCTTTCAGGACTCTGCTACTGCAAACCTGCATTTTCCACAGAACTTCTTTCCCACCTCACCCGAGACATCAGTCCCACAGTCCCCCTTTGCAGTTATCAAAACTACAGTGACCAAGCACAAGACAATCTGTCTAAAAAAAGACACAAAGAGGCTTCCAGCAGACACCAGCAAACATGCAAGGTCAGGCTGGTTACAAGAGGCACTATGCCCAAGGGAAAACCTGTAAGCCAGCACTGTAGAATTCACTGCTCACTTGCTAGAATGAAACCTCAGACACCACCTGGGGAAAGGCCAAGGCACTGATTTCGAGGATTAAGAAGCCCTCCAAACCATTCTGGTTTTAACTTCACTGGTACACATGTGGAAATGTGAACAGCCTGGCACTTTGTCCAACAAGCATCCCATCTACATTTCTGATTTTTACACTCTTCTGAGGGTAGCACAGAGATGTGAGATCAAATCTCAGATGAGCTTATCTCCAATCCAAGCACCCACAGAGGGATCTTCTACTTATCACCTTTCAGAGCCAGCCCATGAATTCTCACAATTCATTTGGGACAGGTCTGTTCTAACAGGTTTAAGCTGGGTTCATTTGAAATCACTGATCTTTAATATTTACATCACACAGGAAAGCGTGCAAGGGCAGTTAGCTGGCCACAAAACTACTACTCATCATAAAAAGCAGGCAAGAAGTTATGGAGAACAACTCTTGTTTCTGAAAGGCATAAAGTAAGAAGAGAGGAGAGAGATGGGATCATGGCACTTCTCAGCCTACCAAAGCCAGCAACTTCTGTCTGGCAAAGCCAGCAGCTCACTTCAAGGGAGGGGGAAAGCAAACCTTGCAACAAAGGCTAAAACTACTTGGAAGCAACTTTGATGAACGGGCCAGTTCTCACAGCGTGTGAGCAAATATTAATGAGATCCCAGTGATGTAAGTGAAACCAGCTTCCCAGCTACAGGCACCGGGCTGAGCTCTTGCTGACATTCTCACAGCCACACCAGGAGAATGCCTGCCTGGGGTCACCGCTCAGTACCACGCGGAGGGGTTCTGAGTGATGAGACAGTTCTACAGTGGAGGACAGGAGAGAAAAAACAAGGCTTACTTTGGAGAGGCGCTTGTGTGACTTAATCGGAGAGAGAGCATGCAGGAATGAAAAGAGAGATATTAAGGAAAGAAGAAAGATTACCTCACAAATCAAGAGAAGGAAACCCCACAAACCCAACAGAAAGCGTTATATCCCCCCTTCCTTGTGAAAAGCACTAGGAATTAAAGCCAAACCTTAGTAGTCTTGGTGTAAAATTGGTAAAAATTGTGTGTTGGTAAAAATCACACTCTTTACTCTTAAATCACAGCACTTCTTGGGCCAGGGCAATGCAACTCATCTCTGTAATTCCCCCTTCCCAAGGATGCCATTTCCTTGGCAAGACCGTCCCCCAGGGTGGCTATAAGCACAGAGTGCCCTGCAGCCTGCCTGCCTCCCATCTGCATGGCATCTTTTGGGGACAGACTGCTGGCACCATCATGCAGGAGGGTGTCATCCAGTCCTGCCACCCTGAGCAGCGTTTGTACGTTCCTGTGTGCACAGGAAGCAAGTCTGACCTCAAGGGCAACCTCAGAACTGACAGGTCTCAACTGACTCATCTTGAAAAAACCCTTCACCCTCTCTTTTAAACTGACATACTCCCTCATCAGTGGGAAGAGATCAGCTCAGCCCAGTGAACGTGGGCCAGTGAATCCTGTCTCTTCTGCTGACAGCAACCACAAAGGGGAGTGGATGAAGACTTCTTGCATGTGACACAATCCAGAAATAAATCGGGCAAAGATGTAGCAACTCCTTTCAGACAAGCCATCAGAGTTATGCCTGTGACACCATGAAGTTATTCAGGCTGAAATATTTCACTTCAAAAAATCTCAAAAAACCCAAGTGCTCCTGACATCAGGTGTAGAATCAAAGCTTATGTTTGGCTCCCAAGGCCCGCTTGCTTTTCAGCAGGTCCCACTGCTCACAGAAAATCAAGAGTCGCCAAACCTGAAACCCTCTTCCTCAGCAGAGCAAAGGCAAGGCTGTTCCTGATTTGATCAAAAGACACAATACCTTTCTAGGGAAAATATCATCTCCCTGTCCAAGACAGTTCTAAAACTGTGCCCATAGGAGGTAACGTGCAGAGGATTGGCAAACTGATTCTGTGCACCCTGAACTTCATCTCGACAGGGCTTAGACAGCACTGGAGAAATGCACTGGCCCTTCACAGGCTCTCTGCACAGAGGAACCTTTCTTTGTTCCATGACCCTTCATGATCCAGATGATAAAAAGTAACTGCAACGGCTGATTTTCAAGGTCTTTCTCAAAACCACAGAGCCTCCCAAGGCAGTGGGGCCCTGCCTGCAGAGCGGGCAGCCTGCGCCGGCTGTGCGGAACTGCAGCCCAAGCCACGGGCAGCCCCTGCACTCAGGCTGCTGGGAGGATGATAGATTGTGCCAAAGTCTGACCCATGCAAATGGTTCCCGGTCAGTAGGATGTTCAGAAGGGCAACAGGGGAAGGAGGGGGAAAGTTACCCAGAGGAAAAAAGGCACAGGCCAAAGCCAGTGTACCAGCTTTGGGGCATTTTGAACCGGGGACACGTGCACGTTTTGGCCAAAGCCATTTGCTCGCTCCTCACCTTGGAGTTCTTGGCCCCACTGCGGCCTGACTGAGAGGAACAGCTACGCTGTACACCCTGCTCCGGCGTGGAAGGGGATTTGTCTGAGGAGTGGTCTGAGCCTTTTTCCACCATGGCGTCTCCCTGGGAGTCCTGCGGCGTCGGGGAGCGGGAGCGTTTGCGCAGGATCGGGGAGCAGGCAGGGGTGCTGCGGTTGGAGTTACTGGCAGTACTGCGGAAAGAGAGAAGGAAAGAGCAGGGTTAACAATCTCTGGCTCAAACAGAAAGCAACTGCACCCATGCCTTGAGGTGGAGCACTACCCGCTGAGCCCTCCACTAGCACTGTGGACAAATCTGGCTTCCTGAAGCAATGCACCCAATGCCACACTCAGCACTCCACGTCCTCGGTAAAATTAGACTGCAGACCGTTATCATTGGCCACTGGCAGAGGGAAGGACAACGTCCTGCCAGTGTCCTTCTCCACCCACTCTTCAACTCATCTGACCACAGATGAATGCCTACAAGAACGAATTCATTCTCTCCTGTTGGCTCTGAGAGTTTAAAATGATGACCTGAGATTAGAAAACATGAACCTGCACTCAAGAGTGAGGGAGATGTCAGCGTGTTCCCCATATAGCCCCACTCTGTCCCTCCTTTATTTTATTTCAGCACATGTAACAGTTCTCAAGAGGATGCATAAAAATGGAATCATCTCTTTTATGAAACACTCCATTAAAGATGACCAAAAACAGTGGGACACTGGGAAGGGAGTCATGATGACAAACAACGCAGTCATGATTTCCTGTATCAAATCATCCTTTCCCACAGCAGTTAGAGCTGGGCATGAAAATGTTTTGCTCTAAGAAAAAAGCTTTCATGGTTTGGTGGTTTTTTGTTTGTTTTTTTTTTTTTTTAAAAAAAAAGGTAACTTTTCTTAACAGGGAAAAGCAAGACCTTTGAGAGCTTTAGGGAAATTATGAAACATTTAGGAGAACAGAACTTCTCATGCCTTATCTTCAGCAAACACCCTGACATGTAAATCAGAAAGCCAGTTACATACATATTTGTAATGAACAGGAAAACTCTCAGACTTCCTCACTGTCCCTTCTCTGTTGATGCCTCTTCTTCCTGCAAGGCTCTTCAAAACACCACATGCTACATCCATTTTCCCCTACATAGCTCATTCCTTCAGCAGTCATATCCGTCTATGAGCAGCCCAAGTATCTTTGAGGACTTTGCAGCTGGTACTGTGAAACTCTGCACCCTACAGGTTACAGAGGAACCTAAGCTGATCCGAGGGTGAGCTCTGTGCTAGCTGCCATGCTGAGTTGTTATGGTACCTTGTTATCTTGTGAGCGTTACAGAGCAGACCACATCTGAGCCACAGAAGGGGCAAGAGAAAAAGGATGAGGGAATTGCAACTGTAAGGGACTGAATAAAGAAGCTAGTACAATCAAACTCTTAAGTGTTATAATTTAAGCCCTATTATACAGCCCTATATAGCAAACAGAAATTTGCAGCTCACAATGAATCATCTCCTTTCTGAAAGTCTAGAAAAGCTGAATAAAAGCCATAGGTTTCATAATTACCAGACAAAAATCATATCCTCTTTTTGCCTCTGAAGATGCCACATACATTTTACCTATATTAGTTAGCAGATATGGGTAGATAATGTAATACACTCCTCCAGTAGCTACCAGGTTTAGTTTGGTTTGCTTTAGTACTGGATGAACTGGTCTTATAAATGTTCCTCTGTTTGCTCACTGATCGTTGTAACACACAAGTGACAAAACTTTCCCTAAACACTTTGCAGAAAGCATACAACAAAGTTGCTTACACAAAGATTAACAGAATCAGATTTAACACTCATACATGCAAGGAGCTCAAGAACAGTAGCATGGCACTTTGCAGAAAACCCTTAGAATAGTTTGCAGTATCTTCTGTAGGCAGGGAGAGAGACTGAAGAAATTTCAGACTCTGTTACCTACTGAGAACAGACCGAGAATCATATAAATATAGTATAATAAAAAGCTGCTTGTTCAAATGTAACCTAAACCAGAAGTTAGCTCCAGTGTGAAGACCAGCAGAGCGATTCTCCCCCTTCACTTGTCTCTTCACAGTTCACACCTAACAATGACACATTTTGTGAGTGAAATACTGTGTCCTCTCCCTCCCTGGTCAAGACACAGGAACACTGAATGCTAAGGACCTGTACAGCACAACTGTACCAATATTCAAGCTTTAATCCCTCCAAATTGTATCTGAAACAAATCAAAACACTGAGCAAAAGACAATCTGGACCATTCCCCCAGTAGCATTGCCTGTAACAGTTTAAGTGTATTGGGAGGTAAAATCACCAGGATTTTTTGTAGCTTACTGAAATGTACGAAAGTATTAGGTTTCTTCACAGACTTTCAGTTAAAATGGGTATTTAACCTTTTCTGTCCTCCTGCTGCTGCTTTGCCTGCCTAAACTCAAGAAGTACACACTTCTTTAACACCCTGCATCTACTGTACCAACTGCAACCAGCAACTACGTGTGTGTGCAGAAGGTGCTGTGCAAACAGTACTGTGACTTGAAGTTCATCAGCAACGTTTCCAGAGATGGATTTGCCATTGCTACAGTTAGAAACTCTAAATTCTGAGGCTGTAATGTTCCTGCTCATGCTGTGTTATTGTTTTTCTGGCGTTGCATCAAATTTCCTAAATCTTGCCCCCAGCATGCTTGATTCAACATAAACTGGTTTATGTGAGAGGTCCCCAGAAATACAGGGCAAGAATTTGACGCCAGTCTCTCTGAGTCACATCATCATTGCACTAATTATGTTTTAAGAGATGTACTCATTTTTCTTCTACAGCTCTACAAAACCTGAGGTTTTCACACACAACCTCCTTCTCATTTTCAGTTCATGTGAGTTCATACTCACAAGTTTCACTTTGAGTTTCAACTCTGTAAAGACCAAGTCAAATTCAGTCAAGGTTCTGCTTGCTTTCAGGTTCCAGCTATGAAGCAGCACTGAGTTTTTACTGCTGCTAAAATAGAGCACAAAATAAACCTTTCAAAAGCAGGGTACAGCTGTACCACGTGCACCTGAAACTGAAGAAACCTGCTAAAAAGTTCAGTACTCTGTTACTCATATTGTAATCAGATGAGACAAATTTCTCCTTTTGTGGACTGCCATAAATCAGTGCTCCAATGTGCACTCATTCACACATGGGCATCAAGACACATTCTCAGCTCTCACACTCGGAGCACACGTGTGCTCCAACACTGGCTTAACAGGCCCAGTACAGATACTGCTGAGCAGTGGGCAGCCAGTTCGAGCTAATCACCCACAGTCCTACAAAGCTCCTCAGGTGGGTTTTCCAGTTGTGGCTGAGCACTGCTGCAGCTCCACAGGAGCAGCATCAGCAGTAACTAGCTTAAAGCTGCCATGTGTATGTTTGTCCAGGCCCACGTCGCACTACTGCAGCCGTATGTTTTGGTGACAGCTCTGCCAAGCACCATCTCAGGCAGACTCTGGCCTCCAAAGTTCATTTTCCAGTCACTTAGCATGTCTGGCAAGCTTTAAAAAACTCAATGCATCCATACATACTGTGTTAGATATGTATGGATTATCACTTTTGCAGAGACAGGGAAAAAAAGACAGCTTGAGGGGTGCTGCCTCAGGCTCTCACTTAAGTCAGCATCAGAACGCTGATCAAACTCAGGAGTTCTGAACCCTCCTGGTACTACCTGATGAGTGGGCAATGCTGAATATTTCTCACATGAAAGAGTCCACGGGTGTGCACACAATGAAGAACAGGAAGAGTCTGCTAATTCAGCCTTTCCTCTCTACCACAGCGAGGAGGGGCACAATACCCACAGGCCTGCAGCTCCCACTCGCCTCCCCCTGCCCCAGCCCCTCTCACTGCTCCTGCTCAGTCCCTGGAGTTTGAATCCTGCCCAAGGCACAGCCATGACGAACGCTTTCTGCAGTTCCCATGGCAACCAAGGCCTGCAATTGAACCAGGAATCAACGTCTGAAATGCCAAAATGGCTTGACCCACTTTGAAAAAAAAATAATAGTAATAAATAATGCTTTACAGACCTAATTGACCGCAGCACATTCAGGGCCTCTCATCCCCCTGCAGCGCAGCCTTTAGATGCAACAGATTAAGCCAGGGACTGAACACAAACAAGCCCACCTAAGCAGCACCCCCCTGCCCCTATGCAAAACCCCTGCATGGAGTGATGACAGCACAGAAAGCAGAGTACGTCTTCTTGGTCTATGTTCAGACTGTGCTTAAGAGAAACACCTTGTCTTAGGACTGGAGCTGCAGCAGAAATAACATGGGCACGTGTGATGCAGCTAGGAAGAGGTCAAACTCTGCTCATCACACAGAAGAGCAGCCTCAGTATCCGGAGCAGCATAGTGAAGAACCGAGCTCTTCTGTAGGTGGGGGAAAAAGAACAAACGTTTGACAATGCACAGACAGCCTGCCCTGGGTGCTCCACAAAGCAAGGACTCGAGGCAAGAGGGGAAAAGGCCAAACTTCCTCCTCCAACAGAGTATTTCCTGTAAAGATTTGAACAAGCCGATGAATGGAGACTTCAGCAAGTAGTAGCTTTTTGGAAAACCTACAGTTTGTACTCCACAAGCTAAGCTTAGGATTCTACTGCTATAAATGAACCCTGAGGACTCTCTGCAAATGATCTAATGGACGAGAACAAGACAAGAAACCTGACTTTGAGTCTGAAAAATAAATTCTGTATAAATGATATTCAAGCAGTCCTGAATTGACATCTAAGTCTGTCCATCCTATAAGACCTTCTGAAATAATCACTCTGCCTGACACTCCAAGCCATCTCTGGGCTTAAGGTAAGCACCCTGCAACAGTTCTGTCCCAAATCAGCAGCCACCCTCCCGACACAACAGCCTGCAGAAGAGCACTGTCACAGCACCTGCGAGTGCACTGCACAAGAGCAGCTTGTTGTTCTGCTCTCAGGTAGTGATACATATAGATTAAGAAGGCACACAGTAAATCCATTTGAATCTGGAAGTTGCAGGATGTGAATTAGAATTTAGCCAGAAGTAATCACTACGTTAGGAAGAGTACCAAAGGTTCTGTAACAACGAGGGCAGCTCACCTGGACAAGTGGCAGCTTCAGGCACACAAGGCTCCCAATGATCACCAGCTTCTCAGAGAGCAGAACACATCAATTACACCATTTCCTGCAGTATATCT